GATTTTTTTATTTTTTAATATTATAAATAGTTACTAATAACTGTTCTTTTTTTTTTTTAGGTCCCAGACAGATTTTTGAAGAATGAAAAAAGAAGATTAAGATTCGTAAGTATATACAAATCTTAATGAAACANATTTTTTTATTTTTTAATATTATAAATAGTTACTAATAACTGTTCTTTTCTTTTATTTTTTAGATTTTAGGTGGGCTTCCAAGTTCTGAAAAGATTCGTAAATATTATACTACAAATTCTATATATATTTTTTAATATAACAAATGGTTACTAACTATTCTTTCCTTTTATTTTTTACAGATTCAGATAGTCTTCTGAAAAATAGAAAATGGAAAACTAAGGTTTGTAAGTATTATATTACAAACTTTAGATTTATTTTTTTTAATATTATAAATGGTTCTAACCATTCTTTTTATTTTATTTTTTAGGTTTCAGGTGGGCCTTCAATCTTCAGATAAAGTAGAACCAAAATTTGCGAGTACAAATCTTGGTTTATTTTTTATTTTTAATATTATAGAATGATTACTAACTGTTCTTTTTTTTTTTTAGGTCCCAGACAGATTTTTGAAGAATGAAAAAAGAAGATTAAGATTCGTAAGTATATACAAATCTTAATGAAACAGATTGGTAAGTTTTAAAGTTTTACTTCACTTTAAAACTTTTTTTAAAATTTTTTTTTTAAATTGATTTTTTTATTAATACTTTTTTTAATTTTTTATTATTAGATTGTACTTCCTGAACAAAGTTTCAAAGAATAACTTCAAAACTTTTTTTGTAGGTTTCCTAGAATATTTAGTTAATTTAAAAGGTGTAAGTTTTGTTGCAAAGTCTACTGTCTTTTTTTTTCATTTTTTTTAACAGTTGTTATTTTTAATAATAGAAAAATTTAGCTAATATTTAGTAGACTTTAGTATATACAGTCTGATCTTAATATAATGAACTCATGATGTAACGAACTCTTGACTTACCAAACTTTTTTTTAAAAACTGGTTTCATAGTATTTAAATAGTCTTAATATACCGAATTTTATATAAAACTCGATGTAACGTATACTGAACTAAAAAAAAAAAAGGTAAATAATGAAACAACATTAAAAAAAAGAAAATTTCTAATCTTTGGAGAAAATAAAGAGTTATGTTTGCTTCATAATGAAAATCCATCATTATCACAAAAAGAAATAGGAAAAAAATTTGGTGTAAAAAAAAATACCATTTGTGATATTTTGAAAAACAAAGAAAAATGGTTAAATATAGAACTTAATGATTTTAATACAGCTAAACAAAGAGAAAAATTGCCAAAATTTCCTGAATTAGAAGAAGCTTTGGCAATTTGATTACAAATGCTTTATCTGCTAATAGAATTATAACAGAAGAAATTATCATAGCTAAAGCTTTTGATTTTGCAAGATTAATAAATATTGAAGGCTTTATTGGGTTAGCTAGATGGTTAAACAATTTTTAAAAAAAACATAATATCAAGCAATATAATAAACATGGGAAAGTACGGAGTGAACCAAGTGAAGAAGAATTAATCAAAAAAAGAGAAAAGTTACAGGAATTAATTAGTAATTTTGATCTTGAAGATGTATTTAATTGTGATGAAACAGGTGATTATTGAGAAATCTTGGAATTTTAAATAATTTAGATTATGTTTATTATACTGATCAATATTATTTTAAATTTATTAAATAATGTATTTCTTTTAGGATTGTATTGGGAATTGGAACCTTCTAAAACATTATCTACAGGTCCTCTTTCTGGAACGAAAAAATCAAAAAACAGAATCACGCTTTTATTAACATTACTAGGTCATAATATATATATATTATGACCTAGTTGCACTAAATTATTACCTAGTTACTGCTAAACTGTTATCTGTTACCGTCATATTACCGGGGTATTTGTTTCTTATTGTTCTACACTATTTTAGTGGCTATTTTTTACATTTTTCTTTTTACTTACTTATTGTTGTATTTGTTACGGTGCTCTTCTTTCCTTTTTTTTTTTGTTTTCTATTTTTATTTGCCTATCAGCTTGCTTCTTCTTCTTTTCCATTTTGGGTTTATTGTTGCTATACGAGTTTTTTTTGGTATGCTAGCTGGCTTTTATTTCTTGTTGCAAATGCTTGTTAATTATTTGTTATTTGAGAACTTGGTGAGGCTCTGGATTTTATTTGTGATATGCGATTTTTTTTGATATAGCTCATGACCTTTGTTTCTCATCACGATTGCAGGTTTCTTATTTACTGTTTGGGGGTTTGGTGAGGCTTTTGTGCTTGTTTGCGCTATATGGTTTTTTGTAATATGCCTTTTTTCCCTTATTAAGCATTTTTAATGCAAGTCGGTTAGTTGGTGTTCTTAGGTTTGATTGTGCTGTGGGCTTTATTTTTGAAGGGGTGTGATCAGGATGGGGTGTGAAAAAAAACAATGGGCTATGTTTAGGTCAGGGACGATGATTCTATGCAATCACATAATATCACGTTAAATGCATAATTATGTGATAAATGCATAATTTAAGTTAATCGCATCATAAAATCACATAATTTAAATTATCCCATATCAGAACGCATAATCCGCAGTAAAACATATTTAATTTGCTACAGATTATCAGTTCGATCATCTTTTTTTCTTTCGCAATGCCAAAAAAACAAAAAACCTCATCAGTTTATACTAGATGTAATGAATATAAAGATATTTTTCGAGTAGATGACAATGTTCTCTTTTGCAATCATTGCAATATTTCTATAGACTGGAAGTGTAAATCTACTGTAGATAATCATTGTAAAAGTCAGAAACACATTTTTAATGTAAGAAGTCAAGAAGAAAGCCAGAATAAAACACAACAACTTACCCTTTCATCTACTCAGACAGTTTCAGAATCAAAAAACAACTTATTGAAGACAGGACCCCGCTTACTTCTAATAGAGGTCTCCGAAAATATAAGGTAAAATTTATATTAAAAAAAAATTTTAGGTCTCTTAATAGATAAAGGTAAAATTATATATATGACAAATAAAGGTCTCCGGATATGTAAGGTAAAGTTAAAATAGGT